CTGACATTAGTAGTGGCTTTGGAAACTGAAACTATGTTATAACCAACTTAGTGAATTATGGTGAATAAACAAAAAAGTTTTAAAACAAATTAATTATCATAAACATAATCTTAGCTGACTTAATCAAACAATATAACAAAAAGGCCATACAATATTATCAAGTAGAATTCATTACAGGAATGCAAACATGGTTCAGTTTTTATAAATCAATCAATTGTAATTCACCTTGCCAACAGAAGAAAAAAGTCACATGATAATATGAAGTAATACAGAGAAATTTTGAAAAAAAATCATAATAAAAAGCCCTCAGCATACTAGGGATAAAAGGAATATGCCTGCAGATACTGATGGTCATTTACAACAAAATTATGGTCAACAACAAAATCAAATGCCAAAAAACAGGAGAAACTCCTCAGAAATCAGGAGTAAGATCTGAGCACAGCCAAGTTTTCCTCCCCAAATAAAACTGGAACCATATCTCAAACCATACAAAAACATTTAATTAATGTGGATTAAAGGTCACAAGGTTAGACCAGAATACAGAAAACACATGGAGTAAAATATAGGCAGCACTCTCCAGGATATGAATATCAGAGATATTTTCTATATTTTGAATCCACTAATAAAGGTAACAAAATAAAAATAAGCAAGGGCCTGAGAGATAGTACAGCTGGTAAGGCACTTGCCTTGCACACAGGTGTCCTGGGTTGATCCCCTGAAGCTCATATGGTCCCTTGAGCCTGCCAGAGTAATACTTGAGTGCAGAGCCACGAGAACATCCTTAGAACTGTGAGGCAAGGACCCCAAACAAAGAAACAAAATACAAATATGTTTCCCTTTTTTCTTTAAATAGTTAAATACATTTAAAAGAGATTTAAATTATAAGGAAAAAGTTTGTTTACTCACTGTATCCATATTGTGATTATCCTATGACTCTTCATTGATTTGTAGAAACCTATATTTAGTATGCTCAAAGGCAACAGAAACTGAGAATTGGTCTTTAGTAGGAAGATTATGACAAAGCAGAAAGGGGAGTAGAAGGAAGAAGAAAGGGGAATGGAGGGGCAGGAAAGGAGACAGCAAAAAGTGGAACAATGGTTGGAGGGAAGCAGACACTATGGTGGAAAATTTTCTGCATGGAATCCTTATCATTGATAGTATTGTAAATCCCAGTGCCTAAAATAAAATTTATTAGAAAACTGTATTTCCTTTTGAGATCTTTTTTCTCCTATATGAAAGTATTCCTTTTACAATTATTACAGTATGGTTCATTTAGAAAATTATTTCAGCTTTTTGAGGGGGCTTATGGGGTCACATCCAGAGATGCTTGAGGGTTACTCCAGACTCTGAACTTAAGAATTAGTCCTGGTTGTTCTCAGGGGACCATAGAGGATGCTGGGGATTGAACCCTGGTCAGCCACATCAGAGAGATGCCCTACCCGCTGTACTTTGGCATTGGCCCCTAATTATTTCAGCTTCTGCTTTTCCGGGGGGAAAAAATCTTAGTTCCTTTTGGTTTTAGAGAGTAATTTCTTAATTTCTTTTTGTCTGAATGAATTTCTTCTAGTACTAGAAAGATATTATTTCACTGTATTTTTTCTGCTTTTTAAAATTCACTTTCTGCCATACTTATCTTTATCTTTACTCTCCTTTTTTAGCCATATTTCACTTCCCACGTTTGTTTTTATCAGGTCAATTACTATTCTGATACTCAAAATTTTTTAGTTTCTAGATTTATACTTTCCAAACTTGGAAGTATTTGGTAAGTTTTATTCAAGTATATGTAAATATATCCATTTATCATTTCATTTAGGGGCAAAGTTCAGATCTTAGTCAGATGATTTGAATTTGTCTTACATATCTTCTGGTTTTATAATTTTTCCAGTATTCTTTCTATTTGCATTTCATTTTATAATTTTTATTTTTATGAATTCAAGTAAAAATTTAGTTTTTTCTGTGATCTCCATTCTGCTATCAATCCCATCCAGTGTATTTTTATGTTAGGCATTTATGTCTAGAAATATGTGGGTTTTTCAGCTTTGAATTATTTTTTTAGCGTCTGTTAGTCTACTTTCATTCCAATGACGTGTAATTTTAATTACTGTTGCTTTGTAGTAAAAAGTCTGATAATAGGATACCTTTAATTTTCCTTTGCTTTTATATGTATGCCATAGGAATAGGCTTGCTTTTTCTTCTATTTCCTTAAAACTAGCATAGAAACTTTTAATTGCAGTATATTATATCTGTATATTGCTTAGGCAGAATAGATATTAGACTGTAATAATTTTCTTATCTATGTACAGAATAGTTTCCATTTAAAATTTTGAATTAAACATTTAAACATTTTAATGTTTGAATGATGACCTCTCAGGGTCTGTATTGCAAACCATAATACCCAAAAGTAGAGAGAGATTTCCTCCCCGTCCTAACGAGACCCCAAGTCACAGCCCATGAACGGCATCTCTGGCTCCTGATCTAGCTGCTTAACAGCCATGATCCCAGAGACTCAGAAACAAAACTCAAACCCAGTGGCTTTTTGCAGATATGCGTTCGGACCACACAGTAGGTTAATGTCGCCATGCCACCCCAGGGGGGAAAGGGTGACGTTCCTCTGCCTGCTTCCCCTAGAAGGTTCGGTGGCTGCCATCTTCCAGAGGCCATTGAACAGTCAGGTTTGGGCCCGCAGTGACAAGACACGTGGGGCCTCACGGGATGGGGGTGGAACCAGCCATTTCCTCCCCACCCCAACAAGACCCCAAGTTGCCGCCCATGAACAGCCTCTCTGGCTCCTGATCAAGCTGCTTAATGACCATGATCCCAGAGAGTAAGAAACAAATCTAAGAACCCAGAAGATTTTGGCAGAAATCCCTCCAGATTTAATTTTTAAAATTTCAGAATTTCAAAATGGTGCAGCCACTACTGCAGCCGTGCATCATGATATGTTATTCATAACCAGCAATAGAAAACAAATTGTCTACTGTTGCCTTTTTGGCAGATCTGAGTATTGGGGTAAAATCCCAAATAATAATGGTGGGTCTGGTGTCAAAATATTGAATGTAATCAAAGTAGAGAGAGAGTAATGTGGAAATCATCTGCCCCACAGGTAGGAGGAGGGTGTGGAATGGGGGTATACTGGTGTTTTTGGTGGTGAAAATGGGCACTGGTTAAGGTATGGGTGTTTCATTGTATGACTGAGACTTAAACTCAAAAGCTTTATAACTGCTCTCACAGTGATTCAATAAATAAAATTATAAAAAATAAAAAAGTAATGTGGAGTTCATGCCCAATTCAATTAGCCTAATCAGTGGCAGTACTCCTACATAAAAAAAAAGTATAGAGAGATTATGGGGAATCATGTCTGCCATGGAGGCAGTGGGAGGGTTGAAAAGGGGGGGTATACCGGGGATATTGGTGGTGGGGAGTGTGCACTGGTGGAGGGATGGGTATTTGACCATTGTGTGATTATAACCTAAACATGAAAGCTTGTAACTATCTTAAGGTGATTCAATAAATTTTTAAAAATTCCTAAAAAATATAATGTTTGAGGTCTTTTAGCAGTCTCTTATAGTTTTTATTATACAGATATTTTATATTTCTTATTAAATTGATTTACTGTGAGTTTTTCCTCATATATTAAAGAACTGTGATTTAGAAAGTTATTGATAGTTGAGTTTTAAGCATATAATATTTCAACACCAATCCCAATACCAGTGTCAACTCCATCCACCAGTGTTCCCATATTCCCTCCCCACCCCTAATGCCCCACCTGTCAACTTGACAGAACATTACAAGGTTCCAGTGGTTGCAGCTTAGATCTCATGTTTTCAGTTTTTTTGAGTCTGTGTTTTGGATATATGGCTACAACCACTCACTCGTATCACCAGTATAACTGAAGACTTGATGCATGTTCACCCATTACTTCTTGTTCACTTCTCCGTCACCTTGATTTCTTTCCTTCACTATACTTTTTTCACCTTTTCTGTGCATCCAGTATTCTATATGCCACAGATAAGTGAGATCATCCTGTGTTTGGCTTCCTTCTTCTGGCTTATTTCATGCACCATGATATCTTACAGTTCCAACCACATTGCAGAAAGTTATTTCATCATTCCTAGCAGCTGCGTAGTATTCCATTGTATATATCTTTATAATCCATTCATCTGTCATTGGACGTCTAGATTGATTCCATATCATAGCTATAATACTGAATGCAACAATGAGTAATGTATGCATATGTCCTTTTGTGAGTAGATTTATGTCCTGGGGATAGATGCCAAAAAGTGGAATTTTACTCAACGCATAAAACAATGGTTTGTTATACATGACATATAAAGTACTCCCAAAGATAAAAAAATCAAAAACTCTATTGAAAAATGGGGAGAGAAAATGAAAAGACACTAATTAGAGAAAGACAGGCAGATTGCCAGTAAGTATATAAAAATGTTGAACATCACTTATCAGAGAAATCTAAATCAAAACTACAATGTTATGTATTGCAAACCATAATACCCATAAGTAGAGCGAGAGAGTAAGAGGGAAATTTTCTTACACAGAGACAGGGGATGACTTTGGCAGGGAGAGGGATACTGGAGACCTTGGTGGTGGAAAATGTACACTGATGGAGGGAAGGGGGTTCAATCATTGTATAACTGAAACTCAAACATGAAAGTTTTTTAACTGTAGTTCACGTTGATTCAATAAAAAATAAAATAAAATAAATAAATTTAAAATGACCGCAATGAGATGCCATCTCACACCAGTAAAAATGGTACATACCAAAAATAGAAGGAACAATCTCTGTTGGAGAGGATGTGTTGAAAAAAGAACTCTCATGCACTACTGGTGGGAATGTTGTGTGATACAACCCCTGTGGAAAACAGTACAGAGAGTTCTCAATAAACTTATAATTGAATTATCTCTATTGAATTCAATTTTTTTAACCAGAAGCAGTAAACTTTTAATTGAACAATATCTTTTGGATTCAATTTTTTTTAACCAGAAGCACTCAGACTACATTCTCTCCCTCTCCCTCTTCCAAAGGGAGAGAAGAACAATCATCAATGGTAAAACACAGCTGCAAAAGCAAGACCTCAAACAGGCTTCATGCTCAGAAGATGCTCTTGCTCCTCCTCATGGTTTCAGGTGCTCTACAGGGTCAGAGAAACTTTTCTAGTAACGAACCATAGAAATAATCTCTGAAAGTTTAAAATTAGATTCAATTTTAAATTGGATTGATCTCTTTAGCTTTTTCTTCATGAATTTTTGCATATAGAATCCAGCAGATTTTGATTCATTTTGTAACCAGATATGTGTTGTACTCATTATCTCTCATTTCTTCTAATAATCATACATTGCTAGTCCATATTATAGTAAGATCAAATTATATGCAAATAATAATAGTTTAACTACTTTTAGGACTCCTTTTATTTTATTTTTTTCTTTTTGGGTCACACCTGGCAATGCACTGGGGTCAATCCTGTCTCTGCACTTAGGAATTACCTCTCACAGTGCTCAGGGGACCATATGGGATGCTGGGAATCGAACACTGGTCAGTCACTTGCATGCAAACGCCCTACCCACTGTGCTATCGCTCCAGCCCCAGGGATCCTTTTATTTATTGTTGTCTAACTCTTCTAAGACCTCTACTGTAAAAAACTATGCAAGCAGAGGGTTGTATGTTCTCAGGCTCTCTGAATGGTTCTATCTCACTGCCCGCGTTCGTTGCTCTAGAGCCACTGTCTGTGGCCTGGATTGGAATGGCTGTTGGCAAAGGGCAGAGGAAGGAAGAGATGAGAGCCAGGCTGGTTGGTCTTAGTTGCAGTTTATTCCAATCCTCTCTTCATTCACTCTTGTCTCTCTCCACCTCTCTCTCCAGCTCCCTTCTTTCTCCAGGCTGACACTGCACCCAGTCAGGTAACCAAATCAACATAAGAAAGCCCTCCCAGAGGGCCACCAAATTCAAAGGGAACACACCTAAAAGGCATACCAAAGCCCTTCTTGACTACCCAAGGGCAAAATATCTACTAAGGTGTTTACTTCTTTTCCTCAGTCCAATAACTATCAACAGATCAATACTAGCTATTTTTGTATAACACAGTAAGAGATAACATTGAGACTCCTAGGGCAGGTCTCCTGGGAACATCTTGCCACAGACTCATACTACAGCGCTCAGGCCAGATTTATCATTCCTAACCCTAGCAGGGTCCAAATCTAGTTACTACGTTTGGATCATGACAGCATTTGTCCATGACCAAGCTCTTAACTTATAGTTAAGCATTATGGCGCTTTGACCAGGCCCATCTCGGTGCCAGGGTAGCACATAGCTTACCGCTTTCCCTGGTTCCATTCAGTCCCTCATTGGGACCCTGCTTTTAGTGGCTAGGGAAGTAAAGGCAGTTGAGGCTTAGGTGAGAGAACAGATGCCCAGGAGGGAAATATCACTGAGAGTCACATTACAAAACCATAGCATATACTGTCTTCTTGTGTCCATACAAAAAGGACATTGCTCTGAATAAACTATGCAGAGGACTTAGGGAGAAGAGAAAAACAATATTTACAAGTCAACAGAGCACAAAGAAAGAAGTTACAAATAAACACAGAAGAATAGGAACACTGTGATGGGAGCAACCCAATAAACCTAAGCTACCTGAGGCTATGCAGGAAGGACAGAACAGTGTTATCCTATACTCTACTACATAATTAAATTAAAATGGTGACTGCAGATAATATTGTTGCTGATTTTGAGGAAAACATTTTCAGATTTCTAATACTATAGGAACATGGGTTATTGTACATGGTTTTAAGTACACTGAAAAATATTCTTTCTATTTTTATTTTTATTTAAAATATTGCTTACATAAATATAAAATATAAAAATATTTTATATGAGTGGTGACTTTGGCAAATGTTTTCTCATTATCTATTGACATTTTATAATTTCTGTCTTTTGTTTTTAGATTGATTAATTTGAAAATTGGATTTTTCTAGTCTGGAAAAAAATTCTACTTGTTAATTATGTATGATATTTTTGATGCAGCATTAAATTTGGTTCCCAGTATTTTATTAGGAACTTTTATATCTACAACTATCAGGAATATTACTCTGTAGTTTCCTTTATTCATGGTGTCTTTGGTTTTGGCATCATGATAACATTGGTCACATAAAATGCACATTAAAGTATTCCTTCGTTAATTTTTTTGAAGTCTCCAAGGAAAATAGGCTAAATTTCCTATTTGAATATGTATTAAAATTCACTTGTAGAGTCATATGTTCCAGAATTTTTTGTGGGGAGTTTTTCTCCTTTTTTCCTTTTTTCATCACTATTTCAAAGTCCATATTCATGCTCAGTTGATTTTTTGTTTTGTCTTATTTCAGTCTTGCTATCTAAATATTTATCAGTTTCTTCTCCGTTATCAAATATGTTAGCAAAAAGTTGTTTATAGTAACTTCTTTGAACCTTCTGCAGTTTCATAGTATCTGTTGAATTTTTTCATTTCATTCCTGCTTTTGTTATTAGAATTATCTCTCCTCTTTTCTTGATAAGTCTAGCTAAAGTTTTTCCAATTTTGATTTCTTTTAAAAAATAACTCACTGGTCCCTTCTCTTTCCCAACTGCCCTCCTCCACCCTTCCACTTGTAGCAATGGTCACTCTGGAGAACAGTTGAGTCCTGAAAGTAGTAAAGGGACATACATGAAAATCACTCAGACCTATATTGCAAACCATAATTCCAAGAAGTAAGGAGAGTGAGATAGAGAAAGAAGAAAAGTACTTGCCATAGAGGCAGGCTGGTGTGGTGGTCGTGGGAAATGCACACTGGCAAAGGAATAGGTGTTGGAATATTGTATGACTAAAACCCAGTGATGACTAACCTTGTGCTGTGTATCTCACAGTGATTCAATGAAAAGGAAGAAAGACTCTTGGATGATCTATCATGTAGCTCAATGATAGAGCACATGCCTTACATGTGGAGGATCTGGGTTTGATTCCCAGTGTCACAAAGAGAAACATACAAAAGATCTTCTAATTGCATTCAGTTAATTTAGATTATGTTCTAACCTCATTATGGTTACACTTAGTTGCATGCCTGGAAATTTTAAGAACATATTGTTAGGACAGAGCCTGGAAATTTTAAGAATATATTGTTAGGACCCGAGAGATACTACATTGGGTAGGGCATTTGATTTGCACACTGCCGACCAGAATTAAATCCCTGGCATTCCATATGGTCCACCTGAACATTGTCGAGATTAATTCCTGAGTGCAGAACCAGAAGCCCTAAGAATTTCCAGTGTGAACCCAATATATATATATATATATATATATATATATATATATATCATATATACAATAAATTTTACTTCACAATATCTGATGCCAGTTACTTTTGTGTTCACATAAATAATCTTAAGCTTTATTGTGAGATATGTACATTACAGCAGAACTATCCCTTTGGGTTCTCCATTAAAATTTTGATAAGAGGCATTGCATCAATTGCTAGTCTAGAGATAATTATTTCCATTACTTTTCTGTGCCTTCAACAATCTGTGAATCCTGGGTTTTCATAGTATGGCTAGAGGGAACCAGCAGTATTTCCAACCTGTATGAGCATTTAGTGCTCATGTCTAATCATTTCTAGTGATCTTTGTACCCTTATGTTGATCAGTATATTGCTGAATATTGAAGAGATCCTTTGCATACCTGTTTTGGTCTCTTGTGCAGATTTTGTGCATTGTTCTGAGTGACTCCTTGCCCAGCAAACTGCCTGGGTCTCCCCAGACCCTAAGCTCTGTCTCTTCAAAACAAGAGCACCATCAAGCTCTGCCGGGTTCCTGCTCCTTCCAATGGGGCTTGTTAATATTTATTAAGCAGTAAGTTGGGGCAGCCATAAAGACTCCACTTTTTGATTTCTGACAAGAATCATTTTCTTGACCTTATCTTTAATGTATTGAGCATTATTGTTTCTTACATTTTGTTTCCATCAGAAGAGAAAATCTAGATCCTGTTTTAGCCAAATGAAAATTCCCCACACTTAATTTTATTTGCTTCTCTTCTTTTGTCCCTTAAAATTTTTTTCTTTTTATTACTTCTGACCTTGGTTTAAGTAATTACTCATCTATTTGCCATTTAATCTTAATATCTCTATGCTTATTTTTAATTTTTATGTATTTTGCATTGAAACACTGTGGGACATACAGATAATAAAGATTTTTATTGGGTTTCAGTCACACAATATTCCAACACACATCCTTTACCATTGTATATTTTCCACAACTAATAACCCGTTTCCCTCCCACCACCCCTTCCACCACCACCACCCCCGAAGTCTGAATCTATGGAAGGCACTTTTCTTCTTTCTCTTCTGCTCTCTCTTTATTTGGGGCATTATGGTTTGAAATACACGTACTGAAAGATTATCATGTTTTTTTCCATTACCTATTTTCAGCAAGCACTTCTTATCTAGAGTGATCATTTCCATATATCATTGTCATAATGGTTTCTTCTCTATCCTAGCTTCCCTTTTCTCACTCCCTTTTTTCTACATTCTCTCTCTCAGAGTCCAAGAAACATTTATTTTTATTTTTATTAGTGAATCGCTGTGAGGTACAGTTACATATTGACAAACTTTTGTACTTGCATTTCAGTCATACAATGATCAAGTACCCATCCCTCCACTGGTGCCCATTCTCCACCACCAATTATCACAGTATCCCTCCCATCACCTCCACTCCCTCCCCCCTCCCCATTCCCCATCTTGCCTCTGTAGCAAGATCTAACTATATCGTCTGCAGTCTAGAAGGATTACATTTGGATAATATTCTTGCTCTTACTTCAGTTTTAATAGTATTGTGATTTGCAAAATGTATTTGTTATAGCAATGTAGATAAGCTTGATTAGATAAATGATAAATGTTTTTTCAAACTTCTATATTCTTTATTCTAGGCAACATGTAAGATTATTAAAATTTCATTACCATACTCACTCCCTTAAAAATGAAACCATATTATCTGCATTAATGTGACTTTTTTGACGTTTTTTTAAAATTCATTTATGTATTGAATCACAGTGGCAAAAGTTACAAAATTTTCAGGTTTAAGTCTTGGTCATGCAACTATCAAACAATTTCCCTTTAACAATACTTAATTTTCACCAAGGAGAACCCCAATAAACCCTCCCTCCCAACCCTCCCAATGCCTGTGAGGCAGATGAATT